TCTCTGATGACTAAACATTTTTGAGTAAAGAGCCACAGTTTTTAGGTTAACTATGTACATATATTGTTAGTGTGTGTGAGTGTGTAGATGCTTAGAATCATATTGATGTCTCAAATTGTTTTGTTTAAAACGTTTCTGAGATTTTGTCACTTTATTGATAAGCATATATATATAAGTATATAAAAATTTTGGAGTTTTTAGAATTTGAATGGTGAAATCTTAAATTTACAAAACTTGATAATAGGTTTGAAATTCTTGTATATATACAAAACGCTTGGAGGGTGATGATCGGGAAAATGTAGAAATTTCTTAATGTCTCTGGTTCCATAGTTTCATTGTTCATCATCTTCTATAACCTTCGGAGACATAGAGAAGCACATGCTTTTGAAAGATTTCAAGAGATCATCTTGTGGAAGTTGTCCTGAAACACCATCGGATTTAAAATCGTTTTACTACCAAGAATCTTAAAAATATAAATAAAAATTTTCTCCAAAGAATTAAAAGATGAATACTCTTTCAAAATTTTAACTACAACTTTGCTTGCTTAACGAAGGAGAAGAGACACGAATTAAAGCTTAAAGAAGACCATATATCTGAAACATGAAGAACATACTGATCTGATGAATCTTGTGAAGATTTTGTCCACCATCAGAGTGAAGAAGATAACTAAGAAGACAAAATATATTTTCTCTGTTTCTCTCTTTCCCCATGTAGAAAGTGCCAACTTTTTTTTTTGTTTGGTGACAAGAGAGTGTAAGTTGAGAGATATAAATAGGGCTAATATTAGATATTGATGACCTGAAGAGACAAGTAGGGAAATTAGGTTCCATGGTCTCCCTTAAGTTATTGAAATAGCATTTCTTCTTATTAATCATCAATATTTACTAGATTCATCACACTTTTTTCTTGAAAAATGGTTAATTCTAAAAGACTATCAATCTAAAACTTTTAAGAATTACTTGTAAGTTTTCAAAACTCTTGTAAATCTTCAAACTTTTGTAAGTTTTAAGAAATTGCTACAATATAACACATAATTAAAGAGTGATATCTCAAAATATTAAACTACCAAAATAAGTTATTTTCGAAAGTGCTCTTTACTATAGTATGTATTGTATATTGTTTCGAAGTTAGACCAATACCATTATAGCTTAGTGCGTAATTCGTCGTTTTTCTTTATGATCTTCATGCTTTAAAAAATGGGTGATAAAATCGTTTATTTGATTTATTAGATTACTTAACTAAGATATTTATCTATGATCAATTATTGAATACTCTAATTAACCCTCTTTTTTCCACCAACTTATATACGATACTAGATCCAAAATTAGTAATCGAATGCGACGAAAAAAATTAAATAATGAATAGAGGTTGCCAATAAAAGGGCCATCAAATAATATCCAAGTAGCTGAGTGCTAGGCTATGATTAGCCACTTTGAAAGATATTAAATAATATTTACCAAATTTTTAAAAGTTTTTGATTTATATGTATATAAAAATTAGAGAGATGCAAATTTTTATTGGTAAAAGTTTGAAACATTATATTGGATTGATATATGAGCTAAAAAAAGGCAATTGTGGAGTATATTCAACTTGAGCCACTTATTGAATGATGATGATTCCATTTTCTTTCTCTTCATTGGTTTTAATTTGTCCCACTTATATCACCAATTAATGGTCTCGACGTTATTGTCACATTATGATACTATATCGTTTCCATAATTCGTCCCCACTTATATCATTCATCTTTTTAGGGACATAAAATGGTACTAGTAGTGTATATGATTGATTAATCACAATAACTGTTATTGTGGTTTGTATATCTGTGCCCTAGATTTTTCGAATAATTAATCAAGAGATTAATTGAGGTTTAAATGTCTATGACAAAAGAGTATTTGATTAACATAACATGATATTTGATTACACAAGAAGATTATATCTAGCTATTCACTTTAATAAGTACGATCAGAATTACACAATTTGAGATGATTAATCTCAAAACAAAAATGTTAAAAAGTCCTTGAAAACGTTTTTGGTAAAAGCAGAGCAAGAAAACAGAGAACATCTCAAGTCGCCGCCAATGGTAAATCTTGAAACATAACATAAAATGTAGCAACTAAAAACCAGAGTTCTCTATTAAAAACATAACAATTGATCCAACAAAACCGAACAAGAACTATAAAAGCATTAGAGCAACAACCAAAGGCAAAGACTTCACTCTTTGGTCCAACCAAGACCCGGTCTTGGAACCTCTGCTTGCGGTTCTTCATAGTCACGAGCAGATCGGATCGATTCCTCGAAATCAGTCGAGTCGCTTGCCACGGGAAGGAAGCTTCCAATGTCGTCTTTAGCACCAAACCCTCCAGCTCTTATCACATCTTCTGCTGATATGGAAGCTTCCATGTTCACTTCACCACGAGGCTGATCTCTACCAACTTGACTCATGTCATTCTGATTAGTAACACCATGGCTCTGACTCTCCTCGGTCTTGGATCCTCCCGGAGATATAACACTCGGCTCTTTTGCTTTACCTGCACGTATCTCAGAACATCTGAATATTAGAACATAACCGGCATTGACTAAGTCATGAACTAGTAACTTGTTATACAATCCGAGGTTACGAGAAATCGAAACTTACTGACTAGTAGCCTAAGACATATGCGAATCATAACCAGTATATACATATCCATCTACAAACAGAGCAAATTTCATGTACACTTCAATCTGAAAGCTAACGAGAGATGAGATACTAATTTGTAAAAGTCTTTATTCCTTCAGCTAGGCATTATAACAAACACTTGATATGCAGAACATTGAGTACAAAAGAAAAAAAAAAAAAGGTAAAAGAAGCGATTGGAGTTTTACCGTTTGAGACATGTGATTCAGTTTGAGACATGTAGTTAACTTGATTCTCTGATAAACTTCGAATTGTCACCGAAAATCAAATACGAACACACACAACAAAAGA